GGTCATTCCCGGTGCTCAGTACTCAGTACTCTTGGTGCTTAGTATTCCCTGTGTTCAGTGCTCATTCCCAGGGCTCAGTACTCCTGGTGCTCAGTACTCCCGGTGCTCAGTACTCCCGGTGCTCAGTACTCCCAGTGCTCATTCCCAGTGCTCCATGCTCAGTACTCCCTGTGCTCAGTACTCCCTGCGCTCAGTACTCCCAGTGCTCATTCCTAGTGCTTAGTTGACACTGTTGTTGACGGTTTTCCAAAGCGGCATGGACTGGACGGGGACTCGGGGTCACCTCCCGGCCCCCCTTGGACTCATGAGCCGAGTGACCTGACCGCGAGTGGCCGTCAGCCCCTTGCTGGGCCCCAGAGCTCAAATGACTTCCAGCAGCTCTCGGTCTGAGCCGTGTCCCCGTCATCCACGGAGGACCTGTGTCCCCCCACGACCACGTCCTGCTCCGCACATGTCACCTGTCCCCACGGCCGGCCCTGCCCCTCCCGCCTCATTGCCCTGCCACCTGGCCGGGGACGACTGTTCTTAGAGCGACTTCACGTGAAACAGGGACCCCGCGGGTCAGTGCAAACCCGAGGCCGTGGAGGGTGTCCCAAAACGGGCAGAAAAGTCCAGCCCAGGTGTCACGTCCGGCCTGCAACCTGGCTCGTAAATAAAGTTTTATTGGAACGCAGACTTCGGAGTTTGAGACAGACTTTAAGGTCTGCGGAAAACGAATATTCACTCTACAACCCTCTGCCAGAGCAAGGGTGCTGGTCCCAGTCCTAAAATGCTGCAAGGAGCCCAAAATTCTCCTGTTTGGGATTTCAATCCCCAAACTTCTGTGGAATCAACGAGACCCAGTCGTGGTGACCCCCGTGAGCACTGAGGTCACACGGGGCGGCCGGGACCTGATTGTTTTGAATCCAGGTTTGGAGACTCTCGGGTGTACATTCTAGGATGAAGCTGGGGTCACGGCTCATGGAGACCCGGAGGCTTGCGGTTTGAGGTCGGCCTGGGGAAAATGGGAGCGAGACCCCATGTCCATCAGAAGTGGGCATGGTGGGTCACGCCTGTAGTCCCGGCTAGGTGGGAGGCAGGGTGGGTCACAGCAGTGCCTGTGGCTGGTCACTCTGTACCACACCCACCATCCAACATGGCCACCACGGGCCACGTGGCTCAGCTGGGCACTGGACCTGGGGCTGCTGTGAATTAAATTTTAATTCCGTCTGTGGAATTTCGATTTAAGTACCCCGGGGGCCTGGTGGCCGCCATATGGAGCAACTCTGCCCTAGGTTGCTCGTATTCTGTCCTAGCGAGGTGGGGGGAAAGTCCTGTCTGCTGTGGCCACCGCCCTGGGGGACAGGCCCCAGCTCAGAGCCGCTGGCCTCTCCGCTTTGAGGCCCGCCTGGGCCTGACCCAAAGGTCACACCTGGGCACAACTGGCAGCTGTGTCCAGAAGCTCCAAGATGGAGACTGACGGCCTCTGCCACCCACCCTTAAAAGCAAGCTCTCGGTTTCACAAATGCGTCACGGAGTCACTCAACAGGCAGCAAATGTGTCATGGAGTCACTCAACAGGCAGCAAATGTGTCATGGAGTCACTCAACAGGCAGCACACACTGGATCACCTCCTGGGTCGTGGTTCACTTGAGGTCTGGACACTGGAAGAATCCAGAAGGAAGGGGACGCCTGTCCACAGGCAGAAGCAAAGCTGTCAGGCTGGGACGGGGCCAGGGGCACACAGCTCAGTGAGCTAGGCCTGCGGGGGGACATCCGGTGTCCTCCCCTGTGACGCAGTCGGGGTGACGTCCCCACATCCGTCAGGCCACCTGTGAGCGTTCAGATCACCGAGGGTCTTGTTCTGGTCACTGTCGTGACTCACGGACATAGTGTGGCGCCTGAGGTCCGGCCCTCTCAGCTGCATCCGCGGTGTGGAGTTAAAGGTCAAAGCCCTGGAGACAGCTCGGGTGGAAGGGGACGGACAGGAGAGAGGACGAGAAGGGACGATCGGGTGTCCGTCACCTGATTCTCTCTCCATCTACTGTCACGGCCACCCAGTGAGCCCGGGTCACTTATAACGTCCAGCTCCGGCGCTGGACGCAGAGGAATCCGTGTGCCGGGGCCAGCATCTGGACGGGGCTTTCCTGCCTCAGTGTCCCCGAATGAAGACGAGGTGGCGACCGTGCTGGACTCCCTTTCATAACAGCCACTCCGCAACAGAGAGAGAAATGTCCAGCGCGTCACCTTTGGGGGACACCACAGCGAGAGAGGGCGACGACGGGGATGGACGCCCCAAAGCCACTGTCGATGTTTGCTCTGTGCGTCAAGATGGCCGCCGAGCTTCCGCGAGGGACATTTTTACCGGTGGACCAAGCTGGACAGGCGTGTCCTGCGATGACCGTTCAATGACCCCCGGAATAAACCCGTCATGGTGGATTTCTGAAATCCCCTCTGCTCCGTCCCCGTCAGGCCACCTGCCTCTTGAGCTGACGTCAGGAGAGTCGCTCAACAAACGGCGGTGAGCGCCTGACCCGTGGCGGCTGTGACGCCAGTGAAAGGACCGGGACTCAGGCTTCCTCCCGGGTCTCAGGGAGGCTCTGTCCCTTGTCCGGCCGGGTCCACGAGTGCGGCCAGCCTCGGCAACGAGACCTGTCCCTGCCCTCGCTCTGCCCACGCCGCAAGATGCCACACGGGACCTCGGCTCCTCGTGCCCGTCCCCGCGACCGTCCCCGTGCCGCCCACGGCCGGTGCCAAACAGATGTGTGCTGGAGGAACCGGGTCTCCCGGTGGACGTCCCCGGGCGGGGACGAGGACGAGGCCCTGAGGAGGGGCCGACGTTGTCCCTTTGAGACTGGCTCTTCCTCCAGGCACTGTCCCTGTGGTCACACGCCACCCGGCCTGGATGAGGTCATGGGCAGCGGCCACCGTGACGGTGAAGGGGTGGACTGCAGTGATTACGGGAAAGACCCCAAGGTGAGAGCGACCTTGGCTTTGCATGGACCCGCCAAGGGTGCCAGAGACCCACGGCCTCACAGCAGCAGGACACAGATGGGAGCCAGGACGGCCCAAGCCACCAGGAGCCACCACAGGCCATCAGGGGCCACCAGGAGCCACCAGGGTCCACCAGGAGTCACCAGTGTCCACCAGGAGCCAGCAGGAGCCACCAGAGGCCATCAGGGGCCACCAGGAGCCACCAGTGTCCACCAGGGGCCAGCTAAGGTGAGGCACACGCTCCCTGGAGCCTCTGGACTGAGCACGGCCCTGCAGACCTTGACCCCACCACCTCCACACCGAAATACAGAGACCGTGTCGGCCCCGGGAACCCAGTGCAGAGCCCTGGTCAGATGCTCTGCCCCCGAGGCTGCGTCCCCGTCCTTTCGCTTTTAGCTCTGATTTTCAGATGGGGTCGCCTATGGCCTTCCTAAGTCCACCTGCCCAGCAGCCGGGATTACAGCCACGAACCGCCTCACCCGGCCTGTTTTTCAAGACAGGGTCTCTCCAGCCTTTTCCTCTCAAACCTCGATCTTTCTGTCTCGACCTCCTGAGTGCTGGGATTACGAGCAGGGGCCACCAGGCCCAGCCCAAAGGCTTTTCTTCCCTCGACTGTACTTTGCACATCCTGCATTGTTTGCAAATCGGTCTGTGCTGGCCAGTCCACTTTTCCCACAAACTCGGGTGACCATCGGGAATTTTCAGCAGTACGGTGTTTTCGAAAGCCTGCACGTTGCTTTTTTTAGATCGGGTCGATTGCACACTTCATATGCTACGGTGGTGTGCAAACGTGACTTTGCACCTGAGACTCTGAACATCGCTTATTCACTTTAGTGCAGCACAGCTCTGCCGTGTGACGCCAGCATTTTGAGGTCTGAGTATGGCCCCGGCATGGGGACAGGGAGTGGAACGTGGCCAGGAGGGACAGAGCGAGGGTGGGAGGAACAGAGGCACCGTGTGGTCTGCCCAGCATGGCTGCCTGGCCAGATGGCCAAAGAAGACATCGGAGGAGAGGGGACGCCACTGCCCCAGGCTGGACGTGCGAGTCGGAGCCCTGGCTGCGTGAGACGCGGATGCCAAAGAGGAGTTGCGTTGTTTGGAGGACACGAGGCCAGGGCAGGGCACGGCCGGTCAGGGGCCCGGCCTTGGTCTGGGAGCCGTGGCCTCCGTGCGCAATGTCACTGTCCCCGCACGGGAGGAGGAGCCGGCAGCCGCTTGCTGTCCAAGAAGTGTCACAGAACCAGAGGGGACAGGGCAGCAAGGGGCCTTGGCTCCGGGTTAAAGTCCTCCGGGCAGCCATGGTGGGCCAGGTGTTCTCAGGAAGGGACGCTCAGAGGTGAAGGGCAAGGTGGGCACAGGATGACCCCCCGGGTCACAGCATCGGGATTTTGGGGACTTGGAGATGTCTGTCCCCAAGGGGACAGGACAGAGGATGACCTGTGACACTGTGAGTCCTAGACTAACACGCTCGGTGACAGGGACCGTGCCACCAGGCCGGGGACAGACAAGCTGGATACTTGGTGATGTCCCCACCATGGCTCTCATCTTTCCTGCTCGTCCTCTCCGGCAATGACCCCGACCTGCCCCGCGCTGACCATGGCGACCTCAGACTACACACGTCCCCTCAGGGTTTGGTGGCTGCTGTTCTGTGTTGTCCTGACCATTATGGGGACGGACGTGAAGACCCCGCGAGGGACAGACAGACAGACAGCGCGTGACGCTCACCCTTGGAGTGGGATGGCTGAGGCAGGGACGATGTCAGGGCCCTGTGTCCCGCGGCAAGCGACGCCATTGGTCCAGCTGGGTCCCGCCCCCGGGGCGCGCAGCCAATGGCAGCATCCCGACTCGGCCCCTCCCCTCCGGCTGCCCCTCCCCTCCGGCTGCCCCTCCCCTCCGGCTGCCCCTCCCCTCCGGCTGCCCCTCCCCGGTGCCCAGGCCCCGTGGCCTCCCCTGACCCGGGCCTCACCAGCTCCAAGCAGCGCCGGCCGGCCTCGGCCTCCCGCCGCGCCAGCTCCTCCATGTCGGCCTTCAGCTCCTCCAGGCGCCGCTGGTAGTAGCGGCTGCTCTCCCGCTGCTGGGACTCAGCCGCGGTCACCCGGGACAGCTCCTCGCCCATCCTGACCACGCTGCTCCGCAGCCGGAGCACCAGGACCTGGAGCGGCAGAGACGGCAAGGGGAGTGACACGGGGCAGGGCGCGGAGCAGGAAGGGGCCCTCGTTTCGGCCACCGATCCGTAAAGCCCGGGTTCAAAACGCAGAGAACTGTCACGGCCACGCAAAAAGGACACGTGGAGGCCCCTGGCTTCGCGGATGCCCTGGGCTCAGGCCCCACCTCGGCCTCTCCTTCCTGGCTGGGGGACCTTGGCCAGCTCGCTGACCCTCTCCGAGAGACCCCAGGGCCATGGCCACCGAGGAACACGCTGAGCTCTGCAGAAGCCGCAGCCCGGTGACCGGCACAGAGGACGACGACCCTGATCAAAACCGGGGACCGTGGACATCACGGCCCTCCACCCATCCCTTCCCCGACTCGGGAATGTCCTTCTGGATCACAAAACGAGAGCCCTCGGTCAGATCGCCTCATTTAAGTCTTTGTGGTATTTTCCCCCCTTTTGGGGACAGAAATCCACGAGGACACAGGGCACCCGCGTGAGGCGCGTCACGAGTGGGGCGGGAAAAAAATCCCACTGAATCTATTAGGCGGCTGCCAAGGCCGGGACGATGGACGCTGGGCAAACAGAGGTGTTGGCACAGCAGAGCCAGGAAAATCTGATGGGACGCTGAGTGACAGCCTGAGACAGAGAAAGAGAGAGAGAGACAGAGAGAGAAAGAGAGAGAGAGAGGGGGAGAGAGAGAGAGGGAGAGAGGGAGAGAGAGATCCTCTTCACTTCCAAGGGGACTGGCCACAGTCGCTCTGCAGAGGCGCAGAAGGGACCAGCATTTCTCCAGCCAGGTGTCGGGGACTCTGCTAAATTCAAGTAACGGTGACTGGGACGGCAATGGTTCCATGTGAACTCTGTCTTGTTGGACTCCCGCGGTCCACACCCTGGGAGCCCAGCTGGCCTCAGAGAAGCTGGAGCTTGGCACAACGGCAGGCGTCAGCAGACGCCCACCCCTGACCTCAAGTCCTCTGATGGCTCTGGGGTGACGCTGTCCCTGCTTGGATGGGGCCGATCCCACCCACAACACGGGCAGCGTGAAGTATCAAGAGGACAGACTGACAACGATGATGTCCCCTGTCCTTAGCTACAGAGCTGCAGAGAAGCATGGACACCCAAACTCAAGGTCAGTGTGAATGTCATCACTAAGCCTCACCCGGCTTTGTAAGGTCTCGCCTGTCCTTCAAGGTCCAGCATTAATGCCACCTCCTTCTGGAAGCCACCCCAATGCCCCAGCCTTGGCAGGGTCTCCCTCGTGATAAGCACCAGCCCCCTGTGTATTGTGAATATTCACACTGCAACCCATGCCCTCCACACACCCAACCAGGGCCTGGGCACCCTCGGTGCAAAGTCAGTGTCCTCCAAGTGACCGCGGGCATAAACGGTGAGCAGCTGGGTGGAGACGGAAGACTCGGGTGAGTGAATGAAAGGGTGGAAAGACAGAAAGGGTGGGTCTGGATAAAGGAGACCAGAAGAAAGAGGGAAGAAAGTAAAGAGGAAGAGTACATGAAAGGAGGGATGGATGGACAGATGGGCAGATGGATGGATGGATGGACAACAGATGAAATGATGGAAGGACTTAATATGGATGGAGGGATGGACAGAAGGATGGATGGGTAGATGGAAGGATGTGTGGGTGGATGGGTAGATGGGTGGATGGACGAATGGGTGGATGGACGGGTGGATGGGTGGACGGATGGATGGGTGGACGGGTGGATGTGTGGACGGGTGGGTGGACGGATGGATGGGTGGGTGGATGGATGGGTGGGTGGATGGATGGATGGGTGGGTGGATGGATGGATGGATGGGTGGGTGGATGGATGGGTGGGTGGATGGGTGGGTGGATGGATGGGTGGGTGGATGGGTGGGTGGATGGGTGGACAGGTGGATGTGTGGACGGGTGGGTGGATGGATGGGTGGGTGGACGGGTGGGTGGATGGACGGGTGGGTGGGTGGAGGGATGGACTGATGATGGTGGATGAAGGTGAACAGAGATGGATGAACAAGGTGGTGGCTTGAAGAAGCAAGTGAGAGACAGAGGGAGGAAAGGGCAGGCGAGGGAGCAGAGGAAGAGCAGGAGGTGGTGGGGTCACACCGGAGGACAGCCCTGTGTGGCCGCCCCAGCCCCAGCAGCGCTCCCATGGCTCTGCGCACCTCAAACCTCCTGATCTGCACTTTCTGGAACTCCGTCTTGTTCTCCAGATCACAAATGACCTGCTCCTGTCTGCTGACGATGGCGCGGTCCACGGTCGTCTGCTCCAGGTACTCGATGCGTGTCCGAGCCACCTGCAGCTGGGGGCACAGCGAGGGCCTTAGCTGGGGCCACCTGTCGCCTCCTTCCCTGCTCGAGTGGCGCATGTCGAGTGTCTGGACAAGCCGGCACTGCGGGTCCCCTCGTCCCCTGTGAGGACGCCCAGTGGCCCTCACACCACCCTGCCCCAAGTGCTTAGTGTTGAAAGCAGGACTTCGGGGACAGTGTCCTCTTCCCTCCTCCTGCTGTGACAAGGCAGCAAAGCTAGTGTGTGAACAACAGGCTTCAGCATCCAGAGACCCCGGCACGGGAGCCAGGCGCGCACCTGCTCGGCCAGGTTCCACCCGAGCCTTGGTTTCCCACTGTCACTGGGAGGAAGGTCCACAGTCAGTGCCCAGCAAGTGGCTTTTGTGGCATCTTTGCTACCCAGGGCCTATGGGCGCTGGCTGACAGTCGCTGTGAGCAGGCCGTGTGACGGCTCTAGGAAGGCTCTGAGAATTTCACGGCGACCCGGCCCGCTAGGTAGAGAGAGGCGGGCGGGGACTGCAGATGTCACACGGGGCCAGGACCCTCCTCTCCCCCCACAGCCGTGTCCCAGAGGGGGAGGGCGCTGTGTCGAATGGCCGACGGCTGCACAGGGCAAATGTGCCTGAGTGTGTGTGTCTGTCTGTCTGTCTACTGGGACTGCCTCAAGTCTTCTGTGCACTCTGGGGGAGTGGACGACAGCGTCCAGGAGGGAGGACAGGGTCGCAGCAGCGCCTCCCTCCGTCCCCCCGGCATGGCGGCACATACTTGCTCCTGGACTTTCTGCTTCTCCTTCTTCATTTCTTCCAGCTGAAGCTGCAGCTCCTGGATCTGCCCGATGTCAGCAGCCGACTGGGGACAGAAGGAAACGTCACCGTGAGGCCACAGGCCAGGCAGAGAAGCCACCGTCCCCGACAATCCCTCTCCTCCCCCAACCCTGACCTCTCGTCCCCAGATCCCCCAACACCCAGCCCTGGGCGCTCTGAGTCACTCCGTGACATCAACCCTGGCCTCGGTCAACTGTCCAGTTTTCTGTGGTGCCAGGGTGGACAGCTGTGAGTGTCAGACTAGACCTGGGATCCGGCACCCAACGCTGCCCGGGAGCCTCTCTGTGCTCAGTGTCCCCCTGTGTAAAAAGGACAGATAGTGTCCCCTGTCCCTGCTCCTGGGGCGTGTGGAGGTGGAAGCGGCAGCGGGGAGCGAAGACCCCGTGGACAAGAGGCTGATGACCGAGCGTGGTGCTCTGTGAGGCCCTCCTTCCATGTCTTTATTAACTGAAGGAATAAATGTCCCCAGTGTGAGTGGCCACATGGAAGATGGCTCAGCTCTCCTGGTGGGGACGGCCTTGGATCTTTTTCTTAGGACGACTCCTCGTTTAGTGGGAACCCTTCTGAGTCCACCTCTGCTGGATGCACCGGAGCCCGGCGGGCCCTGACCTGGACCCGGCGAGGAGGACCATGGCTGCTCGCCAGGGAGCTGTGCGCCCTAGGAACGCCAAGCAGAGACCAGCCGGGGTCCCTCACCCCACCCCAGCTCTGCCCAAACCTCATCTTTGCCAAGCTACGCTGTCACCATGGGTCCCACTGCCACCGTCCCTCCCTGCCACGTCTCCAATTGCCCAAGTCCACCCATCACTCCTCAGCATCACGAGTCTTTCCCCTGGACAGCTGTGGCTTTTATTCGTTCAACACGAGTTGAAGGGACCCTACCCCAAGCCACACCCTGACCTCAGCTCCAGAAGTGGCATTACCCAGGACAGAGGACAGCGCTGTCCTCGTGGAGCTGACAGGCTGGGTCCTCTCCAATGACCCTTGTTCCTTAAAAGCTCACTGGTGGTTCCTCTCCCCACAGAGTAAAACCCAGGGTCACTCATCAGGGCCTCTGAGACCCTGGTCTGTCCCCCTCTCCTGGCCACGTGGAGCTCACCTCACCACCTCCCCTTCACTGCGTCCATTCAGCCTCCCAAATGCATCACCACAGGCCTTTTGCACAGGTCGTTCCCTCTGCCCGGAACCCCCCCAACCCCCTCAGATCCCATGCTAATCTAAGTCCTGCTCCTCATCCAGGTTTCTATCCACCTGCTCAGGGAACCTTCCCTGACCCCAGCCTAGGTCAGGACTCACAGAATGTCTCCAAACCAGGCTCACTTCCTTTCTGGAACCTTAGCTCAGGTGATTATGAGGTAAGGTCTGCCTGGCCGTGGACCATGTGATGGTGGCCATGGGGGTCTCTGTGCATCGCAGGCTACATGGCCTGTGTCACAGCTCCCAATACAGAGCAAGTCCTCAGAAAATACCAGATAGATAGATAGATAGACAGACAGGCAGATGGATGTGTGCATGGCTAGATAGGTAAGCAAGTGCTGGAAGGATGGAGGAATGAATGAATGAATGGATGGGTGGGTGGATGGACGGGTGGGTGGATGGACGGGTGGTGGGTGGACGGATGGATGGGTGGATGGGTGGATGGATGGGTGGATGGGTGGGTGGATGGATGGGTGGATGGGTGGATGGGTGGATGGGTGGGTGGATGGGTGGATGGATGGGTGGATGGATGGATGGATGGGTGGATGGATGGGTGGATGGATGGGTGGGTGGG